TCTGCCCCCCCTTGCATCCCTCCCGCTGCACCTGCACCCCTGCCCCGCTGCACCCCTCTGCCCCACTGCACCTGCACCCCTGTGCCCACCTGAACCCAGGTACTGCATGCCACGCATCAGCTCCCCGGCGGCCGCCCCCAGCTGGCTCATGCGGGCAGCCAGGAGGCGCACGTCGGCCTGCACGCGGGGCGCGGCATGCGGGGCGGGCGGCACGGGGGGGTGGTGAGAGGGAGGGAAGGGCGGGGTGGGGCAGGCCAAGGCGCGCGCGCAGCACCAGCAGGGCGGCCGCCTGCCAGGGGTGGGCAGGCCCATCCTGCCAGCGAGGCGAGCAGCGCGGCGCCGCTGGCTGGAAGGCAGGCAGGCACGTGCCGCCGCCGCCGCCTCACCGCGACTGCATCCCTGGCCGGGCCGGGCGAGGTGGGCACCGCGGTGAGCTGCCGAAGGCGCTCCACCGCGGCCGCCACCACGGCCGCCTGGCCGCCCGCGCCGGCGCCGGCGGGCGGCGGCGCCGTGGGCGCGCCCAGCGCCAGCAGGAGGCGGCGCGTGAGCTCCCCCAGCGCCACCGCCCCCAGCAGCAGCATGTCGCCCGTCGGCAGCAGCGCCTGCGGCGGCTCCTGCGCGCCGCCGGCGCGCTGCCAGGGCCGCGGCTGCTCCTCCCCGCTCTCCTCCCCAGACGACACAGAGGCCAGGCCAGGCATGTCGCCCTCCTCGTCCTCCTCATCCTCCTCCTCATCATCCAAACCAGCCAGCACGGGGGGCCCCTCATCATCGCCCGACGACACATAAGCATCCACGCGCCCATCCTCCTCCTCCTCCTCCTCCTCAGCCTCAGCCTCGTCCTCAGCCTCAGCCACCGCAAATGCTGCAGCAGCAGCCAGCTCCTCCTCCCCCATCTCCTCCCACTCGCTCTCGCTCCCTTCTGTGTCCATCGCCTCAGCCAGCGGCGGCGGCGGCGTGGCGGCGCCGGCGGCGCCATCGCCCTCCTCCTCGCTGTCGAGCAGGGGGAAGGAGCGCACGCGGCGCTCCACCGCGCTGCTGCCGCCCGCCGCGCTCAGCCTGCACCGGCGCCGGAGGGTGGGAGTGACGGGTCGGCGGCGGGGGCGGGCGAGCGGCGGCGCTGGGCTGCTGGTGCCGACGGCGGCGGCAGCGACACCTCTCCCTGCCAGCCAGACAGCCAGCCGGGCAGCTGCTGGCCGGGCAGCAGGGCCACACCTGAGGGGCTGGGCGCCCGCAGCCTGGAGCACGCGGTTGATGGCGGCGCGGGTGGCGCCGCTCAGCTGGGCTGCGCGCAACCGGCGGGGGCGGGGCAGGCGCAGGTGAGCGCCAGCCAGCCAGCCAGCTAGCCAGCCAGCCAGCCAGCCAGCCAGCCAGCCAGCGGCCGCAGCAGCCAGGGCCCAGGCCGAGGAGGGCTGGCGGTGCGGTGCGGTGCGGTACGGTGCGGCAGGCAGGGGATGGCAGCCTGCTGCGGCGCGCCGGCCCCGGCCCCAGCCCTCCGCTCCCCCCCAACCCGCCCACCTTGCTCCAGCACGCCGCGCGCGGCAGCCGCAAAGCTGCGCTGCCAGGCGGCGAGGTTGCGGCGCCAGGCGGCGCGGTGCTGCGCCGGCACGCCCTCCAGTTCTGCACGCCAGGGGGAGAGGCAGGAGCAGGGTGGGGCGCAGGCGCAGGGGCACAGAGAGAGCACGAGGCAGGGCTGGCAGGAGGCCACCACTCCCAGCCGGCGAGGGTGAGAGGCTGTCGGGACACGCATCACACGCCGGCACGCATCCAGCCGCGGCTCGAGCACAGGGCAACACAGCAGGGGAGCTGGGGTGTGGGCGGCGCGGGGGCGTGGCGGGCACAGCACCACAGCGCAGCGCGGCGCGCCTGGCGTGATTTGGTGGATGGCTGGCAGCACGTCTGTGCCGTCGCCGCCGCCGCCGCCCTCCCCGGCCTCCATCTGTGCCAGCAGCAGGCCGAGGCCTTCGAACAGGTGGGGACCGCCCTCGCCCTGATGCAGCAGCGGCATGTGCTGCTGCTGCGCATCCCACCAGCCCTGCAGCCCCGCGGCGTGGTGCGCCTGCGCCTGCTGGCCGCGCCCGCCGCGCCCGCCGCGCCCGCCGCCGCGGCCGCGCCCCGCCCCGCGGCCGCCCGCCGGCGGCGACGCAAACAGGTTGCCAAAGTTGAAGGGCGAGGCACCGCCGCCGGCTGCCGCGCCGCCGGCAGCCGCTGCTGCTGCTGCTGCGCCGCCGCCGCCGCCTGCCTGCGGGGCGCCGGCGCCTGGCTGCGGCATGGGCATGCCCGCCAGCGCCGCCGCCATCTGCTGCTGCACCTGCTGCCAGCCGGAGGCGTCGGTGATGTGGAAGGGGCCCAGCACCTGCGCCTGCGGTGGGGAGGGGCGGGGCGGGGGCGCAGGCAGGCAGGGGCAGCCAACTCATGAGCATCACCCACCCAGGCACTGAGTCGAGTGCACTGGCAGCAGCGGCCGCCCATGCATGCATGCACGGCTGCCAGCCCCACCCCCGCCCAGCCCCCCCAACCCTGGGCTCGCGCCAGGGCCCCGCGCACCTGCACGTCTCCCGCGGCGGGCGGCGGGCCGGCCCCGCCGGCGCCGCCGCCAAACAAGGCCCGGAAAAACTGGGAGGGATCCATGGGCTGCTGCTGCTGCCCCTGCTGCTGCTGCTGGCGCTGCTGCTGTGCCTGCTGCGCCTGCCGCGCCTGCTGCGCCGGGTCTTGCTCCACAAGGTGCAGCACGTGCCCCTGCCGCACCCCCGCCGCCGCCAGCGCCTGCCCATCCTCCAGCACCCGCCCCCTGCGCCAGGCGGGCGGCGGGCGGCGGCGCGGCGCGCGTCGGGGCATGGAAGGGGGGCGGGCGGCTCCACGCGGGCCGCGCCGGCGCCCCGGAAGGCGAAGGGAGCGCCCGCGCGTCTGGTCAGCGGCAGGCGCCTGGTTGGAAGCACAGGGCAGGGCAGCATGCGCCTGCCCCTGCTGCTGCCCGTCCCGTCCCCGCATGCTGGCATGCGCTGCAGCGGCTGTGCGCTCACCCGTAGATGACGCGCTGGCGCTCGACTGGCAGCCCGGTGGGGCGCACCAGCACCCGCTTCAGGTCGCCCACGGTGGCCTGCAGGCAGCAGGGCGGCAGGCGGCCGGGCAGGGTTGCACGGGGGCGAGGCATCGGGCCCAGTGACTGTGTCTTGGGAGGGACAGCGATGGCGGCCCCAAGGAGGAGCAGCGGCGGCAACAGGAGCCGATGCAGTTGGGCGCTCGTGGCGGGAGCGACGAGCGGCGGCTATTTGCGCCGGCGGCGGAATGTGGTTAGCCAGCTCCCTCCAAGGTTGCCTCTCCCGGACCACGCCGCCCGCCGCAGCCTCACCTGGGCTGGCACCTCCACGTCGTGGTTGCCAGTGGCCATCGTGCGGACTTGGAGACCGATCACCAGGTCTCCACCCCCGCTGGCCATGTTGATCGACCTGACCTCACCCGCTCTACACACTGGGAGCGGGCGGAGGCGCCGGCCAACCCTTGCGGCCGCCTTCCGAAGCTACGGGACCGACGGCAAGGCCAGGCACGCTGGAGGGCTAGCAGACGGTGCCTTCGAAAATGTAATGATCAATGGTGTGTGTGCAAATAGCGCAGGATGCGAAAAAAGCGGGCAGCCAGGCCCAGCACTTGAGACCCGCCGTCTCGCCCGAAGGAAAGACGTAGCCGGCCGGAGTTCTAAGAGTCGATACAGGAAGGGTACCAACGGGGGCCAAAACGCCCAGCACGCCCAGCTCCCCAGCACGCCTGGCTGAGAAGGCTGAGCTTCTAAGAAGCGTATCTTGCAACTTCAATTCGCCTGGTTTTTTCACTCGTGCGGCTTGTTGCAGTGTGTGAGCACCTCAGCCGACATGTCTGCAGCAATAGTTTGTGGCAGCGCGCTGCTGGCCAGCTCCCGGCAAGCTGCAGCAGCACTGCAGAAGAGACGGCCGTCGGCAGTCGCCCAACGCAACGGCAGCACGCGCATGGTGGTCGCGGCCGCGGCTGCAGACACCAGCGAGGCGAGTTGCTGGCTGGCGCTTCCCTCTGCGGATGAAAACGAGGCCAAGTCGGGATTAGGGCGGCCCCGAGTCCTGTGGGCCCCCCACAGCTGGGCTGCCTGTTGCAGCGGCCGGCGCCGCTGCTGCCGGCGCCACTGCTGCCGATGCAGGGCCCTTCTGCCCTGCCCAGCCGCAGGGCCGCGCCTGCGGCTAGTGGTGCATCCTGTGCAGCCTGGGATGCTCCTGCATGCACAAACTCTGCCCCCCTGTCTGCCCGCATCCATGCAGGAGGTGACGATCCGGCGGCGGCCGCCCCACGGGATTGAGGCGCAGAACTGCGGGCCCGTCGACTTCAAAGTCCCGCTGCAGGGTGCGCCCTGCAGCTGCTGCCACCACTGGCCTGCTGCAGCGGATGCTTGCTGGGCCCAGCCGCCTGTGTTGATTCCATGACAAGTTTGTCTTCTTGGATCCATGCCGGCACCTGTTGGGCCAACTTGGAGTGCACTGCGTGCCCCCCACCCCCCGCAGATGAGCGCGCCGAGGAGAACCAGCCGCGCAACATCCTGGAGGAGATTGTGTGGCACAAGGGGGTGGAGATTGCCCGCTGGAGGTGCGGGCGTGGCATGGGCTGGACTGTTCATTTGTTGAGATTGTTTGTGTGCCGGCGTCCCTCCAGCCTCTGCTCCAGCCCCGCTTACCCCGGCCGGCCTCCAGCCTCTGCTCCAGCCCCGCTTGCCCCGGCTCTCTGCCTGGCCAGTGTAGTACGCAGATTGGCTGCCATGCACCCTGCCAGCAAGCCAGGACATGCAACAACATCTTGGTCACGCTAAACATGACAGCTTGTCGACTTGGTTGCCTGATTTGTGTGCGCAGGGAGAGGGTTCCGCTGGGCATGGTGATGACGGCGGCCAAGGCCAGCCCGGCGCCACGTGACTTCATTGGCGCCATCCAGGCTGCAGCAGAGCGCACCGCTAAGCCAGGCCTGATCGCAGAGGTGGGCAGGCAGTGACGGAACGCTCCTACATGGGAATGTTGTTTGGTGGTGGCTTGCTGGGTCGTCGGACGGTGTGCCGAGCCCCGAAACTAGCAGCCCTCTGGCGCCTCCTGCCACCGACACAAGTCTTCCCCCTTCACCCGTGTCTGTGATGCTGCATTGCAGGTAAAGAAGGCTTCGCCCAGCATTGGCGTCATCCAGCCCGACTTCGACCCTGTCAAGGCAAGCCCTGGGTTGGGCAGTGAAGGGGGGTGGCTGCCTCTTTGAACCACTGTCAACACCCGGTGTGACAGACTGGCAGCAATTTGGTCTCTCTTGCCAGCACATGAATTGAGCAAGGTGGATTATGCATGTCGTGTGCAGATTGCCCAGGCGTACGAGCGTGGAGGCGCAGCTTGCTTGTCAGTGTTGACGGACAAGAAGTTCTTTCAGGTGGGTTTTGGCAACGCGCAAGGGCATGCACTGAACTCCTTTGTTGAGCTTCCTGTTTAGGCTGCTAAACAATGCCTGCCTCTCCCGCCCCGCATGGCTACAGGGAGGCTTCGAGAACCTGACCCTGATCCGGCAAGCAGGCGTGCAGTGCCCTTTGCTGTGCAAGGAATTTATTGTTGAGGTGCGCCGGTTGCACACAGTTCCACACCCTGCAAGCTTGCCACAGCCCGCTTTGCTACTCATCGCTTACCCGGCTGCCCCTGCGTCGTGCCGCAGGCCTACCAGGTGTTCAAGGCGCGGGCCAGTGGCGCTGATGCCGTTCTGCTGATTGCCGCGGTGCTGCCCAACAGCGATATGAACTATCTGATTAAGGCGGCGCGGTCGGTGGGGTTGCAGTGCTTGATAGAGGTGAGTTGAGCATGCATGCATACACAAATAGTTCTGGAGTGCCACGTCGTGCTGGACTTTGTCCTGTGGCATCTGCACCCCCTCTTGCACCCCCTGCACCAGCACCCCCTGCACCAGACCATGCCACAGGCCTAAGTCCAAGTGTGCTCGGATTTGCAGGTGCACACCGTGGCCGAGCTGGAGCGCATGCTGCTGCTGAACAACTTGGAAGGGTGCATGCTGGGCATCAACAACCGCGACTTGCAGGTGTGTTGCGGGCTGCGCCGTAGGCTTGCTGCCGTGATGTGTGGGGATCATCGCATACCAATACCGCGTAATTTCTTGGGGCTTGCAGACATTCAAGGTGGACCTTGGAAACACCAAGCAAATCATGGAGTCGGCAGCTGGCCAAGAGGTGCGTGGCCAAGATTAGCTCGCCCTATGTCATTTGTATCTATGTCGTTTGTTGTATGCGCGCTGTGGTCGTGCACAATTGACGCAGGGCCATTTTTGGTCTATTGCAGGTGCTCAAGCGGGGGATCATAATGGCGGGCGAGAGTGGCATCTTCACGCCAGATGACGTGGCGTTTGTACAGTCAGGTTAGTGAGCTAGCGGCCTGTAATGCATGCCCGTGTTGCATTCTTTGCGGCACGAGCTTGCTTCACACGCACACTACCTTCCCGGCCCAGTCTGACCAGCTTTGATTGTGCCCCTGGCCTTGACCTTGCTCTGCAGCTGGCTGCGGCGCCATCCTTGTGGGCGAAAGCATCGTGAAGCAGGGAGACCCAGAGGCGGCCGTCAGGACACTCCTGGAGCAGTAGCAGGCGGGCGCGCCACGCCAACTCCTTTTCTGTTCGTTCATCCTCTCCTTCATCATCTTCCTCGTCTTTAATTTCCATTCAGTTTAATGCAGAGATGCTAGAGTAAGAACGTGAGGAGCTGCCTGCGCCCCTGGGTCGGCCGCACTGAAGATGATGGCGGCAGTGCGCCACCGCTGCTGTTGGGGCAGGCCTCGCGGCTCGTGCCCGCGCGTTCGCATTGCGCGTTGGCACTGTCACCGCGTGTTTCACGCTGCGCCGCGTTCTGCAGCCACGGCGCAAGCCAGCTTTCGCTTTTGCGCGCTGGAGGCTCCAGCGCGCAAAAACGCAGAGTGGGCAAGCAGCGCGACGTTAGGCAGGACGAACTACTAGTATGATGCTCTCTAGAAGAAGCCTGCCCTTTGCTGCCGCCTACGCGCGCCTGGCGGCGGCGGCGGCGCCGGCGCCGGCGCCAGTCTTCTCATCCCCCCCCTTGTTGTTGCTTCACGGGCCGTCTAGGTGTTACAGTCACCCCGCTATGATAGGCCGCGTGAGCAGACCTTGGGCAGGGGGCACACGTGATCAAGGGGCATCAACGGGCAACAGGCTAGTTCGCTATACCGTATTGAGTGAGTCTCGGTTACCGGACTGGAATAGTATGAGCAGAAAGCCAAATGAAAAGCAATGCACAGGGGGGAGGGGGGAAGCAGGAGAGGGCAAGGGAGCAAAGGATCGGGCAAGGAGCGAAGGTATGATGGTACAAGCAAAGGTGTGCCCCCGGCCCTGGCACACCCGCCGCCAAGCTGTGTTCAAGTTGTGCCAAAGTACTCGGGGTGTTGCTTCTTGTATGCGGTCTTGTGGCGGCTCAGCTGCGAGTCGGAGGGCAGGCGGTTGTTGGCGCCCTTCTTGCGCTCCATGAGCCAGCCCACCCGCATCAGCCAACTAGGGTACTTGCGGGGGTAGAGTGCACAAGCGTAGAGAAGTGACTCGCGGAAGTGGTAGTCGGCTGTGGTGCGCCCGCTGCTCCGGGCGGGCTGGTCCTTGCGCATGTGCGGGTTCACACCGCTACATGCGCGAAGGATACGCTCCGCCTCGGCCAGGAAGGCCTCATGCCTCTCATGCACGGTCCGCTCCTGCGGGCAAGGTACGCGCAAAAGGCGAAGCAGTGAGGGGCGGATTGTGGGGAGGGTGAAAGGCAAGCATGT